TGCGGCGTGGTGTGCAAAGAGGGTGCAAGCTATTAACAGCTGAGTACATTTCTCATCTGCATTTCCTGACAGTAACCAGAAGTGACTTACGGAGGCAATTAGAGTGGGATGGAGTAATTCAACATGATGGAATGCCGCATCGCAGGGATCACTTGCTAATGACAGGGAGGTAGGATAAGGAAAAGGAAGGATCTGAGGAGTATTTCCCCCAAGCTGAAAAACTGCCCGCCTCCCCTCACGAGTAACTCAAGGCCAGCTGTTTTAGCAGTGCCTCCAAGCCTCTATACATTGACCCTCCTCTCCCTCTTTATCAGCAAAGGCACAAGGAAGGAGAAGCACCTTTTGGGTCCTCAACCTTCACATGTCCAGTGGGTTGCAGGAGATGTGGGTTCAGTTCCTTGTTCTTTCTCTTTTCTGTAAGACTCTAGAAAAAATACCTCTTCTCAAAGGGCTGCCTGTCAAATAGGAGGAAGGCAAAGGGTGATTGCTGCCTGTCTCCATTCCTTCTTTCCCTGTATTCTTTAGGATTAACAAAGTGCTTTACTGTCCATGGAGTCATAGAATCATAGAATGTTTTGGGTTGGAAGGGACCCCTAGAGGTCATCTAGTCCAACCCCCCTGCAGTGAGCAGGGACACCGCTAACCAGATCAGGTTGCTCAGAGCCCTGTCCAACCTGGTCTTGCTCCCAGTCTGGACATTTCACCTTAGGAGCAGTGACTGGGGAAGAGATGGAAGGGCCAGCGGCCAGGGCTCATCTCAGACAAGCGCACTAATCATTAGGCACCTTCTCAGGCTTGTCCTTCTGGCTCCTCAACACTTGTATTTTTGGCTGCCCAATGGCTTATAGTGCATACATGTGTCTCGGATGTACTCCTGAAGACTGAAAGCTCTGGGGTTAAAGCTTTTAGGGTGATAGAAAGATCAAATTTGTGTCCCTCTCCCTACTACTTCCTGCAGGAATGGTTCTAACGCAAATGGCCATCCCCTCTCCCCATGCAGTTAGGGCTGAAACCCTTGCGGCTGGGATGTGTCTGGGGGCACCTCGTGGAGGGTGGTCAGCCCGGCCCAGGTCCTGCTGGAGGGAGGTGGGGAGACTTTTGGGCAGGGGCCCCCTGAAGGAAGAAACTTAGCTTCTGAGGCATGGGGGAGCTTCTGGGTCAGGCAGAGGCACAGGTGAGGCTCTGCACCCACTCAGCAAGGTTTTATTGGTCACTGTTTTGGACATGGGTACTTGCAGACTCTCTTAAGTCCGGTTATAGGCACATCAGTGTGAATCACAGCTTTTGTTTTCCTTTGAGGAGGAGCTTTTTGTTTTCCTTCCTCATCCTTCTGCATGAGATGAGCTTGCAAGCGTAACAGCAAGGTCCTTGAAAGCCATGAAGAGAGAAATCCAAATCAAGAGACACCCAAAAAATACACATTGCTTGCTTGAAAACATCATGACTGTCAAAACTGGCCTTCTGCATCCTGTGGGCCGGACTGATACCTGCCTGCTAATGCTGTTGGTGGAACAGAAGGGCACTGGAATGGGAATTAGGAAGGGAGGAGCACAAGGACAGTGACAAAAATTGAAAGGAGGGTTAAAATGAAAGTTCTCAACATCTCCCTGAAACTGGGATGACTCCAGGGAGTCATCACTCCGGCTCCAGGGAACGCTGCTGTAGGTGCAAGTCAGCAGGGAGCCTTCAGCTGTGTCCGCAGCATCCGCAGCAGCCAGGAGGGCTGCCCGGGATGTAACCTGTTTGACTCCATGTCTGGAGGCCAGGAAGGAACAAGCTTCCTTGTGTTGTCCTTCATGTGCTTTGCACAAACCACCTCTTCAGCAGACGTAAACACTCAGGAGAAGTAGATGCAAACTTTCCAGGTTCTCTTCTGCTTGTGGTTACCTCCCTGCTGTGGCATGATGGGGATGGAACAGGGAGGTTGCAGGGATACGTGACTGATGGGTGTTTGCTGTAAGTGTTTCTCTGCTGCAAAACATCTCTGTCCCCCCAGTTATTTCTGATTTCTCTTTGCAGATAGCTCAGCTGAGCACACAGTTGGTTTGGGACTGCTAATACAGTACACTGGCTGTCTGGGAGCAGCTGATAATGTACTTACGCTGGGTTCAGATTTTCCAGAAAAGAGATAACATTTGCAGATGGCTTGGGCCGACTCCTTTGGCTTCACCTTTTTTATTGATAAATGAAAGCAGTACTCCTGACCAAGCTATGGAAAGCTTTAAAAAGTGTCCTCCCTTACCCTGCTTTTTTAACAGTTCCTGCGTTGATAGTTTCTCTCCTTGTCTCTTGCGTGCCTACAGTAGACACCCATCCTGTTCTTCAGCCTTCCTTGTCCCTTTTCTGCATCAAGGAGCTCTGTGCCCTCTATCATCCTCTTCTCAGCATACCCCAAAGAGATCAAGGCAGCCCTTCCAGACACAGGTTTTCAGTATTTTTTTCCTCCCACACAGCTTTTTTTTCCAGTGGATTCACTTTGCCAAGGCAATGGTTTCCAAAGAATCCATTCTAAATTTCCAATATTTATCATCAGATTTTCTAGTCTTGGAAACACTAGGTCATTGCCAACCCAAAGTTTAGGGATTGATTGCACAAGCAGACTAGCTAGCCATTCTGAAGGGACAATAACTCTTATGAGCCAAGCAGTGGTGAGCAGTTGGCGGGTGATGAGGAACAACAGGATGATCCTTCCACTTGCACTGCCATAACCAGAAGAGACCGGGAGTGGAGGAGAATCATCTATTTATGGACCACCTGCATGGCCCACATCTGCATCTGAGATGCTCAGCATGGACTTCCTTTCTGGTCAAGGGTCCACTGTAGCCATGGACAAAGATATGATTTATCTAACCCTAAACTTTATGTCTAAATAGGATGGAACATTTGTGTTCCAAAAGCTTCTTTTTTTTCCCCATGGCTATAAAAGGAGCCTAACTAAACTTTAGACTTTTTGACTGAACCGAATCCGTCCAAACATGATAGCATCCTTTACGTTAAGGGTGTACTTCTACCTAAGGCACAATCACTATCATTTGCCTGATGTCCTAGTTAATGGGCAAAATCACCAGCAAGGCAGCCCAGCTGCAAGGGAATTGAAGCCCTTTTCTTTCAAGGATGGTTTTAGTACTCAAAGCTATAAACTTTCATTCTACAGTAAATTGGCTAGATAACATCATTCCGCAGCAGCCCGTCCCAACCCAACCTTTTCCTCACCTCCAGCTGATCAACTGTTGGCCTTTACAAAGTGATAATAAAAGACCACACAAAGATAATTACTCATAATTGTCAGGGAGGAGCTTTGCCAGCTCCAGGAAGGTCCTCATGGTATGTTCTTGTATAGGAACCAAACCAGCAAAGTGCTGTGGAAGATGTTTGACCACCCCAACATGTGGTGAGAATTTAAAGCAAATGTCAAGTGTTGGTTTTGGAAAGTCAATGACTTTTGAAAACTGAAGTTTTGGGTGGTTTTGGCTTTTTTTTTTTTTTTTTTTTTTTTTCCCCCAGCCGCTGAGCATTATCATGACTGCCCTGGAAAAAAGGAAAGTTTTCAAACTAATTTGCATCTGATGAATTTTGGATGATCCCAGGGCAGCCATGCTAAAAACGTGCAGGGTGGATATGTGTTTTTCTGCAGTGTTGACTTTGAATGAACTGTGCACTTTAATGGTGAAATTGCACCAATTTAAATGAAGGAGCAGATAAAACGGATGTTTATCATAGAGTCATAGAATGTTTTGGCTTGGAAAGGATCCCTAGAGGTCACCCAGTCCAACCCCCCTGCAGTGAGCAGGGACATCTTTGACTTGATCAGGTTTCTCAGAGCCCCATCCAACCTGGCCTTGAATGTTTCCAGGGATGGGGCCTGGCAAGTTTAAAGGTAAGTTTCTCCTATTCACCCTAACAGTGTGGATATTTTTGGCATACTTGCTACAGAAGATGGCTGAATATCTCTCAGGTGTGTTGCCTTTTCTGTGTGTGCTCTGAGATGATACTGGTAGATGCTTGCAAAATAATAACTGCTCTGCCTCCCACCCGACTTTCTCAGTTATGGACTCCAATGCTGTTTGCAAACGTTTTTGCCATCTTGTGTGCTTTTAACGTTTGTTCGGTGTTAAGTTTTTCAGCAGTCAAATGGGATTAAGCAGTTTCTGCCCTTTCCTCTCAGACTTTTGTAGATGTATGAGGTGGCCCATCAAGGGCACAGTTTGAGGGCACCTGCCTGCTCTCAGGGGCAATGTCGGGGTGTCTCCGTGACTTACATTTGTTTAATAACAGCCTCTTGAATGCGCCGCTCTTTCTGGATTGCCTTATGTGTGCATTTTGCAGACTTTGTGCAACTGCAAGGCTCGTTTCCTCTAGCTGAAGGGCAGAGATGGAAATGGGGAAGGATTGTCTTGAAAGCAACATTTTTCTTTCTTACAGCAAAGACGATCAAGTCTACTCTTGATGGGGGTGAGGATGGAGCGTGGGTGACACCAGACTGCTCTGAAGCTTTGGTCTTTGCCTCCCTAATTTGCACTAGTGTGACTGAGAAGAATAGATGGGATTTTAAATTTTACCTTCTAATGTTTTTGCAAACAAAGGAATGAGTGTTTTGGTCCCTGCCCTCCTCTTACTGAAGTCACCTCTCATTTTTCTGTAAGGTGGTGTTCACAGGGAGACCCAGCTTCGCTCTCCCCACTCTCATGTGGGGGCAGAGATCAAATCGGGGATGCTCCAAGGACCGGAACTAAATTATTGGAAGTGACTTCATCTCATAATTATGATGTCACAGTATGGCATCTACTGCATGGGTTGTTTTTGTTTTTTTTTTTTAATTTCTTGCTTTTTCTGCTCCTTTTGATTTGAGCTTTCTTTAGTACCAAAATTTGGGGAAGGGAAAGGAATCCTCCAGAGCTTGCAGGAAAAGGAGAAAAGAGTAATTTCTTAATATCCCTCCCCAAGGCGAGATAAGGCTGACTGAACCCCTGCTGACAGCAGGCTCTGCTTTCTTTCCACAGTCTCCATTGAAGATATTCGGGATGTGAGGTCAGGCCATAAAACAGAAGGTATGGAAAAATATGCCAAGGATATCCCAGAGTATCGCTGCTTTTCCATCATTTTCAAAGACCAGCGGAAAAACTTGGACCTCATTGCAAGTTCAGAGGACGATGCCAACCACTGGATCTCCGGCCTTGGGAAAATCATAGCCCACAGCAACTCCATGAACCAGAAACAGAAACTCCAACAGTATCCTTTGCCCTAAAAAGTGATTAATCACACACAAAGATGCACTTGTCTTTCTCTGTGGGTGGAGATAGTAGACTAACCTCCTTTTTTCCTACTGGCCCCGGGCACTGAGTTTTCTCTTGCGCTGATTTTGCACCCGAGCACACTCCCTGCTTTCCAATGCTTTTTTCCCCCTGTTTTACAGCGATATAAGCAAGAGTGGATTCAGGCTTCACAGAGCTCCTTAAGCAAAGAATTGCCTCTTTCAGGGTGCTCCAGATAAAACAATCATTATTTTTTCTATTCTTCAGGGGTCTGTTTCATTTGCAGTGCTGTAAGCTCCAGGACAGGCACCTCTTGGCAAGGCATGAAAAGCCCGTACTGTTTATCATGTTTGTCAGTAATACAAGGCGAGGGAACTGATTCTGCTCTTCTGACTGCCAAATTTACTCTGGGGTAGCTCCACTGACTTTAGGGAGGTTGCTCCTTATTTCCCTCCGCACGGGAGGAAGTTTTGCCCTCAAAGCGTTAGCAATTTCTCTAGTGACAGTGCAGACATTGGAAAGGAGAAGCAGCAGAGCAGGGGAGGAGAGTGAATTAGTTGTGAAATGGAGAGTTGAAGTTAGTTATCAGGGGAAATCAGGGCTCTGCTGAATTCACAGGGAATTTTCCCTAGGGCTGCATTTCACTCAATAAATTGCTTTGCGACCAGAGGGCTCACATCCATATCAAAAGAGAGAATATCTGTGGGTGCAGTTTTTGACGGATTTTCTGCAATCACTGTGTGTCCGAGGCCCTGACCATGACCTATGAACCTGTTGGCCGATTTCATCCTGATTCGACAGAGCCTCAGTAGTTGTAAAATATTAAGGTCCTTTAAGCTTCGCAAAGGTAGGCATCCAGCTATCAGAGAGGGAAGCAGATAGTGCTCTCGGTGAGAGAAGGCTGCGTGAGCTTCATGCCTTGTTCAACCTCAAAGCACCTGTGGAGAGGAGGGGAGCTGCAAAATCCTCAGCGGGGGGAAAATCACAAAGCTGGAGCCTGAGCCGGAGCAGGCACCAGGGGGTTCTGCCCCCAGTCTAAGGCTTCGCTCCACGTGGATTCCCTGCTGGGTAATAAAGTTCTGCTGATGCAGGAGATGGCACACAAATGCTGAGCTTTCATCAGGCTTTGCTCTTCTGTGGGTTCTCTGAAGTCTAATAAGCACTTGCACAACCATAGTGGCGTTTGTTTAAAGGAATCGGACTCCATTAGTTGTGATGTGCGTGGGATGCTGTGCTGAGCTCCTGCACTATGACTGTCTTCTTGGGTGGTTTTTCAAGCTGCAGGGTCAGTCCTCAGCAGTGTTACCTGTTGTGTGTTCGTGGTGGTGGGGAGCAGTCCCTAGGCAAGTTGAAATCTTGAAGCTTTGGTGCTGTCGGAAATGTTGCACCCTGGCAGTTTTCCTTTTAAATGTGAAGGCTTCCCCCACCCCGTAGCGTGTGGGGAAAATCTGGGCTACAGAAAGTTGTCCCTGGAGCGTGTCAAATTGAATATATCGCTGAAAAACTTCCCCGTAAGAAGAGACGAGATTGCTAAGGGGGGAAAAATAACAATGACATTTGCAAGGGAAGAAGGCTGTAAATTTCCAGCGTGGAAAAGTGCCTCTCTGTCTTTGGAAAGCAGAATCGAAGCTAAATAGGGTGGGTAGGCAAGCCGTATTTCTGGAAGAGTAATTACTGTGCCGTGCTGGCTTCCAATCTGGGATTGTCTCAGGCCGTTTAACGTAACCTGGAATTACAGAACAGCATGATTTCTCATTTGAAATTTGATGATGTTTAATTAAAGCCTGGGATTTTAAATTTAGTCCATCTTCACTGGCTTTGCTTGGCAGCATGGGCTTACTCAGATCTTCCTTAAACCTCAGAAGTGTTCTCTGCATCTGTGGGCACAGAAGGGGAAGAGTCAGTAGACGAGGAGAAGTGTTGGGTCCCCTGCCTCTCCCCCATGGCTGGCGAACTGCCTGGCAGTATATCTTTTCCAGCCTCCAAAGCCTGGCAAAGCAAGTGAGGAATGAGCAAGAGTTTGAAAACAGGTATTGAAAGCAAAACCCTTACCAGTTTCAGATGGAGTTTGTTTCGGTTTATAAGATGATGGAGTTGCCTGTGGTGGCAAGGGACTTGATTTAGTGTCTTATGTGTCCTTTCCAGCCCTGTGTTCCTGCAAAGGTAAAACTCCCACAAGCTTGATGAGTACTTCTGGTGTTCTTATACATACAGTACTGCTTTATTAAGCCTCAGATTGAACCCTGCAACAAGCTGGCATAGGTTATTTAGCAAATATTGCAGGTATGTGTGCAGGGAAGACTTAAGACCAGAAAATACAAGGGACTTTTTATTTGAGTAGTGTGGGCACTGTCTGCTTTGATTCTGGGATTTATGTATGAGCTTTTCTTCTGGTTGGAAATCACTTGCCAGAAGTTTTGCAGCATTTCTGTTCTGAGCACATCCAGGGGATAGCTGCCAGATAGTTTCTGTCATCCCTCTCTGGTTTCTAATAGAAAGCTGGTAGCCCTGAAGATGGCAGATCCTTTAAAAACAGGAGGCAGGAAGCATCTCTACGGATGTATACAGGAATGGGAACGGCTTTTTCCTAGTCCACCCAGGCCAAAATAGGCACGTAAGGTGAAAGGAAGGCCCCCAACCAGGGCTGAAGGAAGGTGTCCGTATCAGATAACAAGAATTTAACTTGCAGCGCTTGGTTCATCCAGCTCCTCAAAGCTCTCTGAAGCCTAAGGGGGTCCAGATGCAGGGCGAGTTTGGGTGTTTAGGGGACACTGCTGTTTGCTGAAACAACAGGCTGAGTTCCCAGTTGTCTGTAGTCCCCTTTTTCTCTCTTTGCTGCTTGGCCTTGCAGTGAGGGAGCCCACTATATGTCCCCATGCTCTCCGTGGGCTCCCTGATTTTCCTCCTAAATTTTTCATGTCTAAAGAAGGGGAATTTTAATACCGCCAGGCTAAGACAGATGCGGTGTGAGGTCATTGCTTAGCACCTGCCAAGATTTTTAAAGACAGGAAGGTCAACTTTCCATGAGACAAACAAGACTTACCAACAGTTTACACAGATCTCCATAGTTCGGCAATATTTGAAAGCAGTGGTAGCTGTGGCCAATGCTCTGTTTCAGGGTTATGTCTACAGCCCCTAAGGCTGTCAGTTAATGCCCTTTTCTGGGGTTATTTTTCAAGGCCCAGTTAAAATGTTACGGCACTATATGCCTCAGGTGGTGTTTGCTAATCCTGAGGTTTACTCCACTTAACATCCAGATTGGAGCATTTTTTAAAGATTATTTTTTTAGAATGAGTTTGAAGCAATGCTTCCTATGCAAGACATGGAAGGTTGCATTCGTGGAGATCAAATTGTTACTTCCATCATTCTTCTATTGAATAATAGGAGATTTTTCTGGATGACCTTTCTTATTTAACAGTAAGGCAAATTAGAGAGAGTCAGTTCCATGATGCAAACCCCATGTTTTTTCACTGTTTAAAACTGCAAGGTATCGGTCTCAACTGTCTAACGTTATTTTCCCAACAAACTGAAGGAACATGGGAGAGCCAGTTCAAATTAACTGGCTTCACATTAAACTTATTTTTTACAGTAATTGCTCCAGATCCATTGATATAATAAAGTTATCACACACCAAGCTCTTATGAACTGTTATCACAGTATGATACAGTAATAGATCCGGTGCATTTCAGGAGAGGAAGCCAAGACCCACAAATTTGATTTTGATTTTTTGATTCTGCTCACAACAAAGTTCTTAAGGTGTATAGGTAGAAATCCCTAAATAAATATGGAAGCTGAAGGTGAGTCAAAAAATGAATATTAATGCTTCTTTTGGAGATTCTCTGTTCAGTGTTCACCTTGATATACTGAATATTAATCAAATCTGTAACAGTGAGTTTACCAAGCTCCACTTGGGAGCTCTTTTCATCCTTCCTCTATCCCCATTTAACAGTCTGGAGCAGAACGCACTTTCTATCATAAAAGAGAAATCAAACTGTTTCTGGCTGTGGCCAGAAACTCCTACAGGGTAAAGAGAGCTGATCCAGCCTTGGTCAGATGGTGAAAAGCTTCTCCTGGGTCACGATCGCTTGTATTACAGCGCATTTTGCTTCTGCCAAAGCACCGTTTTGCTCTTTCAGAGCAGAAGGTGAGATGATGTAAGCTGTTCAGTGGTAGTGTGCTGATTTACAGCAGCTGGAGAGATGGTTCAGAGTATTTAGCAGAGATTTCTCCCCTGCCATGGGCAGCAGAAGGGTGGTATTTAGGTTAGGCACTGACCTGGAAAGATTTCCTTACATCATCCTGCAGCTGGATTCATACCTGCCTGCGGAAAGCTGATAAAAACAAAGACAACAAGATGAGCTTGAAAGAGCTCAAGAACTTCCTGAAAGAAGTGAACATTGAAGTCGATGACTATCATGCCAAGAAGATTTTCCAGGTAATGAGAGCAAGCAGAAAAAGTATTTGCTGTTGGCTGAGGTCAAGGTCTCCCACAGCTTTCAGCTTTGGTTGGAGACCTAAGCTAAAGTGAACTCCTAGCATCTTTTCTCGTACCGAGGAAGGACACTTGGGTTTTGATGCTCAGCAGATTCCTTACTTACAACTAAGTTAGGTCCACACAATGCTTCTGATGAAGGTCTTTCTTTACCATTGATGCCAATTTTGCCAGGATTCAGACAAGATGTGATGCAAACATGGATAATGTGAGAAAAAGGGAAAAGCCAAGTTTAAGTGCACTTTGAGTGCCAGGTTTTTCATGAGTTCTGCGTGCCACAGCCCCATGTCAATCCTTAAGTCTGTCTGAAATTGGTTTGGTTACAATTATGAACCCAGATCCTCTCCTTCTCAGAAGAGGAGGGTGCCAAGTGACAGCTGTAAACAAAAAGAAAGTGCAAATTAGGGAAAAAATAAAAAAGATTCATGTCAGGTATGTAACATTACACCCAAGCCTGGGCCAGTCTGGTTGATTTAATGGCCCATGGCATATTTAATCTCGTCAGGGATGTAAGCTTCTGAACTGTCAAGATTTGGCTTGCTCGCTGAAGGTAAGAAAGGCAGGAAAATTTCTCAGTTGTTAAACTTTTGGTTTCTCTCTAAAGAAGCCTTCCTGCTCAGGTGAGATAAAACATCTGGATAATTTCCAAATTTCTGTCCTGTCTGAAGCAGGATTTGAATTCATGGGTGGGGAGCTTCAGAAATGCTTTTTCTGATCAGTGGTAAATGCATGGGTGGCTTTGAGCACCAGGCAGTAGTTCTTCTGCTCCTTCCTGTAAGAAGACAGCAGGGAAGGTTGGAAAGATCTCACTAGGACCTTGCCCCAAAGGATGTACAAGTTTCCTAATCCTTGCTTTATGGAGATATCTCTCCCTCTCTCCCTGGTAACTTGAAAGAATTGGAGGAAGGTCATCAGCAGATCTTAAGAATTTCAGCTTGCAAATTTTTCCCCATGTTCTGCCCACTCTGGCTGGCATATCCATGCTTTATTTGCTGCTTCAGGAGACTCTGGAAGAATAGTGATAAGGTTGGGATTCCTCTGATTGAGTTGGATGTCTCCAGTGCAGACGTCTACATTGGAAGTAGTCACCAACACTTGCACTTCCTTTGCAGTCTGTGTAGGTCAAACCACAAATGGAGAGAGGGGTGTGATTCACCTCATCCTAAAGGATACATCTCACTTATGTGTCAGATGAATCACTCCCTACATCTTCAAATATCAAGCATCTGAAAAGACACCTTTTTTTTTTTTTTTTGAGGCGCAGACTCCTCTTCATTCAATGAGCATCTTCTAGGAGTGGAAACCTGAAGTTCAAGTCTGTTTTTGCTTAAGGACTCCAAGTAATTGCTAAACCTTGATTCAATCCATCTAAAAGCAGGCAGCTAGTTGAAGTACCCTCATTAGGAATGTAATTGTTCTAGTTTCCTGTATAGCCACTGGAAAGAGAGGCTCTTCAGAGGTTAATTCAGATCTCTGGTGGGCTGAACTGCCTCCAGGAAGAGTCTGACTCGCTCCTAAAGCAATTACATTTTCAGTTTACATACTGCCTAAACTTAGATGGACCGAGAGACATTACGGCATATTAAAAGGGTGATCTTTTCTGTCTTACTGAGCTTCTCTTCATTCAGTCACAGGAAGGAAGGGTGATCAAGGTTTCAAGAGAGACCTACAGGGCACGTTCTCACATTATTCTTGCTTTTCATCACATAACTCTGTGTCCACATCTAAATTTTAGACACACCTGCGTAAGACATACCCAGTGCAACTACAAACTGTGCAAAGCTCCTCTAATTGATCACCTCAACCTGAATATTCATTCTGGTGTATCAGAAAGTTCCTGACTTTTTCTGACAGGCCAAGGTTTATTCAGAACTCATGGTTCATGATCCATACACGTGAGGTAAAACATGGTATTTTGGGTTGAGATTATGTAATTTGGAGCTCTTGTCCTGGGAGAGAGCCCAAGCAGAAGGAGCTCACTTCTATACCGTGCATCTGATCTGTCCTGGAACATGAGTATGATGCCAATGTTATTGTCCTATTTCCATCACAACTTTTAATGGCCCCTAATGAATGAACTTCCCAAGGCACATCAGTTATAATGCCAGTTTTCTAGAAGTAATATGTCATTTTCCCTGTTGTGTCTTAAAGAAAAGAACATCTGTCATTCATGGCATCTCCACCAGCTGGTTTCCCTCTTTATATTCCTTTTTCAGTTGCTAAGCATCATGCTTAGCTTAGCTTGTGAGATCTTCCAAAGCCACAGCACAGGATCTTACAGACATGGAAGGCAGCCAGGAAAAGACAGTTCTTGGACTGCTCAAACCTAATTTGAAGGCGTCTGTACTACTACTGAACATTTCACAGGTTGTCCCATCCCTGAGATGAGCCCATAGCTTCTACCCAGCAGATTCTGAGGTCAGGACAAGTTGCACTTTTTGCTATCAGTTCAGTTTGTGAAATGCTGTGCATGGTGGTAATTTTGTTTGGTTTTATACATGCACCAAAAATAGATAGTGAAGGACGCCAGTGGAGGATTGGCAGGGGATGAAAGTCCCTCATTATCATCTTGCTTGGGGCACTGCCAAAGTCACCATGGCCATCACTGACATCATTAGCAGGGTTAGGTTGAGGTTAGTATGATGACTGGTTAAACTGAGACATGCATTTTGGTCATAAAACCCAGGACGATAGCTCTATCTGTCATAAGAGTTCAAAGATGGAAAGCAATTTAATTCCTCTGGTTTGACAAGTTACCATCTGTCGGCTGAGTTGTAATAACTGATAGCAGCTTGTCCATAGCAAGGGTGAAATGAAATGCACTACGACCTCCTCTGAGTGGCCTGGAACACACTTTCCATTTCAAGTTCAGGCCTGAAGAAGAGAATTTTTTAGGCCAAAGGCTAAGTAAGGCAAGCCATGTCCTGCAGGAGTTCTGGCGTCCATGCCAAAAAGATTTTTCAGACTTACCTGAAATGCAAGACGTGAGTGGGCTTTATGAGATGAGGACACCACTGATAAGGGTCTGTTTGCTTGCTTTAGACATGGAGAGAGAGAGAATCATTATAACAGTGAGGCATTAACTAGAAGTGGGTTGATTGCTGAAATTTGCAGGGGAAAACACTTGGAAATGCTATAATGCTCCCTGCCATCAGTGATTCCCGTTGAGATAGGCTCTTGCTTCCCATTGCAGCTTGTTTTGCTCAGCCCATATTTAATGCAGACATTTACATCCCAGAGATGACTGAAAAATTGTTGTTCTCCTCTCCATGAAGAATTCTACTGGGAACAAACAACAAAATTCATATCAGGATTTACCACAGAAAAATTGTAGTTTCTGATGACAAATGGAACCCAGGAATATTTTAAATAAACTGGAAATATTTCTTGTTGGAAAAGCTGTTGTCCTTCATGGAGATGCTAACTTGTGTATCTTAAATTCCTAATTTTTCATGGTTAGTCAAGTCCTTGACTGTGGTGCTCTGTCAGAGCTGTTACCTAATGGAAAAGTCCAAACCACAGAGGAACATGGGGGCATCAAGAATTTGCATTACAGCTCCCTGAGAAGCTGATATCTGATTTGAAATTTTATGGACATTTGTTACTTGGTGGTTTTTGAATGAGAATGGAAGAGTTCCATGGAGTGAGGGATTTTTTCATACCTAAACATGCACATGTTTAGCAGGGTTTTTTTTAAAGTTTTGATGCCATCTTTGCAACCAGCCCTACTACTAGCCTTGACAGTCTCTTGACCCCTGAGCTCCAACCCACTAAGGTCAAGGGGAAGGCCCTTTTCACTTTACTTACTGGATTTTAGGCCACGGTCTCTATAGTTTAAGACGCATTGAGTTAACTGCTTCCCTATATTCCTCCACCTCTTGAGATCGAGAGGTACATTTCTCCTGAGCCTTGATTTGTACTTGGATTGTCAGGGGCTGTCCTTTTAATTTATGGGTTGCACAGTACACAGTGCAGTGGAGCTCAAGGCCATGCCTGCTGCTTTTCAGCACACTGATGAGTAAATATGAGTAATAATAACTGTAACTGTTGTATGACCGTTGGCCTTGTCAATGAGAATCATTGTCATTGATCAAGTGCTTCTCATTCACTGGCCAGTAACTCTTTCCAATTATTTTGTGTTCTGCGTTGTGTAGCCCTGGTGCAGATTACGGCTGGCATATGCCAGAAGGAAAGAAGGTTTTCACTCCTTCTCCTCTCTACGTTTACAGCACTGTGACAAGTCCAAAACAGAGGCTCTGGAGGATGATGAGATAGAGGAATTTTACAAGATACTGACAGAGAGGAAGGAAATAGACAAGATCTTCCAAAAGTACTCAGATGCAGAAGGGTTCATGTCCTGCCAGAACCTGGTGAGGTTCCTCTATGAGACGCAGCAAGAAGAAGATGCTGTTGTTGCTGCCCCTGCCTTAATTCAGAGATATGAGCCCAATGAAAGAGGTAGGTTGGAAACCCTGGATGGTTTGCTTCGAAATCTTGCTTTCTTGATGAACTATGGATTGCTTTGCTGTTGCTTTCTTCTGCAGCCATGTGTGTAATTTTCTCCTTGCAGCTGCTTCTAAACCACTGGTCTTCTAGGGGAACATTAGCAGCTCTTGGAGATGAGGGCACAGGAGAGCCTGGGAAATATTTCTCTTCAATTCTGGTTTGGGTACACTGAGCAGCTGGAGAGGGGGGATATGGAGTTGGCTAGAAGGTGATGAAATTCCTGTGGGAAAGGCTCTGATGGCTTATTCAAATGACAAGACCTCCTGTGGCTTTGCAAGGTTAAGAATGTAGCAATATTTCTGTTCTCCAGAAGCAGG